AGTTAACTGAGTTCTGTTTTAATTTTTACCAAGCTTTTTACCACAATTTTGTTTATAACACATTTCAAACAGTGTTCCAAAATAATGCTGATATCAGTAATGTTGATATTTTCAAGAGATATTAATTGTTTGAATTCAAAATTTTGGGGAAATGTTTGTAATAATGACATGCAAAGCATATAAAACACCCAGTTTTGTGACTCTTGTTTTAAATTTTTCTGGTTTCAAGTGCAACCCAAAACTTGTGTGGTGTTTACTATTCGTGATTTCAATCCCCCCCCCCCGCGCTCCCAAATTTCACCCTCGATTCCCCCTCTATCATTATTTATCTATCCCGGCCAACTCTACTAGCAGAATCATGACCAAATACAGTTTCGCAAAATACAGTTTCGCAAAATGCAGTTTCGCAAAATGCAGTTTCGCAAAATACAGTTTCGCAAAGTTTCGTTTCGCAAAATACAGTAAGCTGCATACCTATATATATCATTAGTTTTTTCAGTGAGTATTTTTATTTGTAAAGCAGTGACACTTTGTTTTTCATGACACCCATTATGCAAAGGGGTAATATCTCTATATTACAACCAATTTTCATCTTTTGGGATATGAATTAGAAAATTATCAAAAAATTTAAAAATTACTACTTTGCTTTTTTGGGGCATCTTGTTTACAACATGAAGTTTAGAACAGTAACTAAGTGTTCAAGTTCAACAAAATGTGCAAGCCAAAACACAGTGTTTGCACATCTTTAAACTTTTTAATTACTTCAAATATATTTACAAGGACACATAGGGGAATATATATATTAACATATTATGCTATATATGCAGTATATATACTCTAAATAATTTATATAGATATATTTATACAAACTTATACCTGGGAATTTACAACATTAGTTATTGGCGTAAAATGTCACAGTAAATATCAAATGTGTTGTGCTCAAAATTTACACCATTAGTTATTGGTGTAAAATGTCACAGTAAACAATGTATTGTGCTCCAAATTTATGCCATTAGTTATTGGAGTAAAATTAACACTATATAACTACCAGACTGGAAAATCGGCCAATGCCGCCCCCGATTTTTTTTCGGGGACAACTTTTTGCGGCCCTGGATGTTTTTCCCAAATTTTTTTGCACCCTCGACTCACAGAATAATTTAATAAATAAGACCAACTCACCAAGGGCCAAAGAGGCCAAATGCTATAAATTTTTATTAATAAACAATAAAAGTATAAACAGCTGACAGCTTAACAGCAATTGTTAAAACAAATGTTTTTGAACTGGGCGAGAACGAACAAAAATGTATGTCTGCATCTTCATTGTGTTTTACGCTTGTTGCCCTCCTTGACCAAACACAGCGACACACGCTGGCCAAGGAGGCTTTCTTGTATCTGTAATATCCCTCCTCTGAGTCTTATAAACTTTGCGACAACAATTAATTCAACAATATCAAATTCTTCTTCTTGAATAACAACAGCTATCTCTTTTTAATTCTCTTTTTTATCTCGTAGTTTCTAAAACATGGAACGACCCACAACGACCCCACAATGATCCCGATCCACAACGACCCACTACGACCCCACAACAACCCACAATGACCCCACAATGATCCACTACGACCCACAACGACGAAAAAGGTGTGTATGGTGTGTACAACTCCAAATAGTTATCAATATTTTTCGGCCAAATATTTTAGTCATTAAAAACAGATCTTTAATTTCTTTTGCACTATGTGAGAAATTCTGTAGTCATTACGAACATCGTCTGTCTTCGTGTTGATCTGCCGTCTGTGCAAGCTTCATTTAATTTTTGCATTATATTTTTGCTTTTTTGTTCATATTGTTTTCATATTATACTGAAAGTAAATATATTTATTAGTACAGTGGTGCATGTCCTGAATGTTATGAACAAAGGTATTCCTCTATCTGTGTGTGTCGATGCTCTCACATTTAACCCTTGCTAGCTCATTTATTCTCTGTGTTTTAAATCCCACCGGTTCGCATGAAGATCGGGATTAGGATCGAAAGCTTTGCAATAATAAAATACATGGTGTATCCACAAACAATAACTTTATTGTCATGCAAAATTGCAACTGAAGGTAATTTTGGGGTCGTTATGGGTCGTAGTGGGTCATTGTTGGGTCGTAGTGGATCGTTGTGGGGTCATTGTGGGTCGTAGTGGGTCGTAGTGGGGTCGTTGTGGATCATTGTTGGGTCGTTGTGGATCGTTGTGGGTCGTTTCATGTTTTAGTAACTACGTTTTTATCTTTTATATCTTTCTAACTATATATTTTTGTAACTTAAGCTTTCTTGCTTATAATATCAGCAAGATATTAATAGAACATTACATCATACTATTTTTAGATATTACATAAGACGATAAATATAGCAAAGGCATGACTCAGCATAATGACATAATGTCTTAAATGAATGTTCATGATGTAACTGACTTCACGTCACACTCCCCCTCTTGAAAAAAGAACGTTTGTTAGAACTTTCGTTAACTGTTCGTGACGTCCATTATATCCATATCAAACGATTGTTCTTTAAATGTTAATTATACTTTAAAATACTCTATAAAGAATGAAATTTGAGAAAACTCAATACAACAAGAATAGCGTCCTTAAACTCTAGCAACAGTATAACAGAATAGGGAAGATTCAACAACAGAAGAACAACGTCTTCTAAATAAATTACATACTCCCTTTTTAATCTTAAATTTGAACAACATTTTACTCTTTAATAATAATTATTACTTTAACTTACTGGAGATTTATCAAACTATTACAACTTCGTAATAAACCAGTGGAACAATCCACAAACAAACCACTAACATGTGGTCAACAATACAAAATCTTTCCCCACTGTTAGGCATCACTGAGTAGATGTTAGGCACGATCTTAGCAGAAACCTTTTCATGAAGACGTAGTGAACCTTCAGCGTTGCACTCTTGTACTTCAGCCTCTGGCTAAGTCAACAAATTTGAACTGCATGACGCTAAAATTGGAAACAGATCCATCAATAATATAACACCAAAATAACAATCACCAGACTGACAACAAAAGCAACCGCTCTCATCCGAGAGAGGACGAAGATGGCAAGGCCGTTGAAAACGTTTTTGTTGAAGCTGCTATGGAGATAGTGGGTGAAAAATGTTTCCATGCGAAAATTGCGACAAAATTTGTAAATCAAAAGCTGGCCTAACGAGGCATGTAAACGCAAAGCATGGCAGCAAAGCCACAGCAAATGCAAACATTCCTTCGCTTAAGAAAGATGAACTTATGTCTATGGTGGATAAAGTAAAAGCAAATATAACAAAGGAGGGTCATTGGGACACAGGAATAACTTCGGATTCAGTAAAAGTAACTTCGAACGATAACCTTTACAAAGCTGTCTCGCCAGTTTATCAACAATTTTGTAAGAAACGAAATCAAGATAATTTTCTCATCGAATTTTACGAGCTTATTCCCAAGTCATCTCCCATCCTGAAATGCAAAAACCAGCCACTTTGTAGCCTGGTTATAATAAGCATATCAGATCATGATATGACCTCCCTGACGCTGCTGAATACAGCAAAGTACCCATGTTTGCCGATGACAGTAAATGTTATTGAGTCATAGAAACGTCACATGACACTCAACTCCTTCAGTCCAATCTGCATTCCCTTTGCAATTGGTCCTCTACCTCAGAATTGAAGTTTAATATAAAAAAATGCACTGGAATCAGATTCTCCCACAAACGATTGAGTCACCCGAATACAGTTTAAACCACAAACTGATAACCCTTAAATCTTCCCAAAAGGACCGTGGCATAATAATTAGTAACAACTTAAAATGGTCACCTCACATAACCAATATCATGTCAAAGGCAAATCAGATGCTCGGGTTTTTTCCGACACAAATTGTATCCACCTGACTGATATGGAATTTCGATGCTCAATCTATCTGGCACTCGTGAGAGCTCATCTGTGTTATAGAAGTGAACTTTGGGCGCCTCAATCAACATCAAAGGACCTTCTCTGTATCGAAAGTGTCCAACGACGAGCGTACAAATACATACTTCAAGATTACCACTCTTCCTTTGCTGACCGACTGAAACTTCTTAACATTCTCCCTATTTTGTACTGGTATGAGATGAAAGATATTATTTGTTTCTACAAGATCAAATCTGGACTCTACGACCTAAACCCCGAAGATTATATCGACCACCCTACCCATTATCTGACCCGCTTCAGTTCAACCAACTGCTACAGACCCAACCTTTGCAGAACTGCCTATTTCAGAAGTTCCTTCTTCAACAGAATTGTACCTCTGTGGAACAACCTTCCTGAAGATCTGAAATCCTTTACCTCTACTGCCTTACTCAAATATAAACTGAAGAGCTACTACCGGGACAAACTTCAAACATTCTTTGACATTGATCGTCCAAGGACATGGAAAACCATTTGTTCTAAATGTCGTTCTTGTTCTATTACTTGTTGTTAATGATAGTTGAGAGCGCTCCAAGCTGTCTTTGCATTTCCAAAATGTCTTTTGTTTCAGTTTGTTTCAGGGGGCCGTCTACCTTAAGAACTTTGAAAATTAAAAAAAATATTTTTTGCATAAAAGTTATGATTAGTATGTGTAGAAAGTTGTCAAAACAAAATTGGGTCTGATACCACCTTCCTTTCTCTCAAAATTGCATTTTTTTGAAAGGGTATGCAACCGTCTTTCCCGTTGCTATGGAAACGCATTTATATTTACTGTTTGTTAGGCCGGTTTTCTTGGTTGTTTGTGGGCGTTTGAATTTTTTTGTTGTATTTATGATATTCCACACATGAGGGACTGGTAATGATGTTAAGGCCTGGTCACTAAGCCATTGAACACCACATTCTACTTTGTTGTTTGAGAGAATAGCTATCAACACTGAGAATACATCAAAGATATATATTTTGACTGGGCTGTATTTTATTTTGTTGTTTATTTGTAACTGAAAATAGTCTCTTAGAGATTATTCTTTCTTGGCAATGCCAAAAGTGTCGAAAAAGAAGACATTTCGTGGCCAAAATCGATGGAATACTTTGAGTCCTATCAGCTCTTCTGAGCTCGCTTCTGAGCCTGTTTTGTCCTCAACATCGACAATTCTAACACCGATTTAAAGGGCCTCGAGTTATTGAAATTGCTGCTATGTCAGCTGTGCTGGCCTTCAATTGTGGTGCTGCATCAAGACAGGATGTCATGAAGGCTGCAAACATCCCTGGTGGTGAGTTCACCCTGGAAGGATGCAAGAAGAAAGATGCGACAAGGATGAGGCACTCTGTAAAGAAGGCAAAGTTGAAGAAAAAGGAAAGGAGGAAAATCAGAGAAGCCAAGCTTGCAGCAAACCAAGAGAAAGGTGAATCCTCATATGCCAGTGGGAAGTTCAACAATGTTGACCCATGATGATGACTATCCACTAGCTAGACTTTTGGCGGACAATGATTCCGAGGACAGTGATGATGCCCCATTGGCACATTTCATCAGCAAAAGACAATTAAAGTGACATTTTAACATTCCCACAGTGATATGTGTTGGCTTTGGGCAGGTATATTACAGTAATACATTCGAAAACGCTTGTGCTATAGTTAACTAACTTTAAATGGCGTTTTCTCAAAAACCGTATTTTGGTTTCCGGCCATTACCTAAATCCTAAAAACTCCAAAAGTATTTAAGCAATCTTGCTGATTTTTTCTGAGATTGTTCTTTAGGTATTTTTGCACAAATTAATGGATGCTTTTTACACTCTGATAAAAATTGGATGTTCTATACCAAAATTGGTATTAATGAATAACATCCTTACCTAATATTCATTGCCATGGCAACAAAATAGAGTGTTACACAAAAAGCATCCATTATTTTCTTGACTGGGATGTAATCTATTATACAACTTAAATATATCAAATTTTGATGCTTAGTTTTTTACTAGATAGATTTCAAACATGGACAGGTTAAAAATTAACCTTTTCAGTTTTGCATGGTTCTTATACATTTAAGATCTTTCCTTGGAGGTCATCTGTAATGATATTTGTGTAGATAGCTTTAAGATGATATATGGCATGTTGCATATACATTAAACCATAATAAGATAGAGCTACTGTTGTACACAGGTTCGCGAACAAAAAAATGAGGGTAGAGGGCCCCCTTACGCCCAGATAAAAACAACACCTGGGCGGTCTATGTTCTTGGTATCCTATCTTTGGAAAATGCAGGGACAGCTTGGGGCACATGCATGTTTAAGATGTTTATTGTATTATGTAACTGTGTCTGTGCTGCACAATGTTGACTCATCTATATGTATAAATCTTTTTTTGTAATTTTGTAAGGATTGCAATATATGGGCGGTTCATGTCTAGTTCATATGTAACTTTTAGTCAGGAGGCAGATGGAAAGGAAGTGATTTTTCACTAAACTTTTTGAGTAGAAGCTGGCAACATAGCTTAAAATTTTCATCTGGTCGCCCTGGTCAAGAATATCGCTGTTGCCACTTTCAACTCTTGCTAGTTTGGCCGTTTTTCCCAGGTCCTCCCTCCGACAACATGAAAACGAGGCTGAACTATAAATATTCGTAAAATCATGTAAAACAGCTGTCAGACTCCCGAATATTTTATATATATTATTGCTACTTGGTAAATGACATCACTAACAGTCATGTTACACAGTTATAACAAGTCACATGACAGTGATGCGGCTGCCACGTGACCTATAAGTGTCATAGTAAATCAGAAAAATATAGCACATAACAAAATAACTGTTCAGTCCTCAAATACATATTACAATTCACCGTAATGTAAAAGATGGCAACTTATCGACTTTACCAGAATGCATTGTGAGCCAAAATAAGTGATTTTCACAAATCCAAAAAGTTTACTTTTCAACATCAACGTAGCAGGTATTAGTTCTCTTCTCGCTAATTTTAGTGTCTTTAAGGATGTATATATTGAGTGTTATTTAGAAAATAAAATTTACCTATCGCAAAGGATAACGGTAAAATGTCGCCATATTTTTCATTGTTAATATTGCAGCACATTAGCATTGTAAATGTTCCACCCTTTTACTGACAAATGGCTTGAAGCCTAATGAAGGATCGAAGGTAGGAAAATGTTAGCTCTACTTCTTGTCAACAATGTCAATGATATTTACAACTATTTATACAAGTTACTCGTCCTCGCAAGTTATAGCATTTTCTGGTGTTTCTGCAGAAGTCCCCACATTTACAGGCGTTGGTGCAGGAGAGTGATAGCCGAACACATGTGCATCGTCGGTTTGCACAGCAATTTCCCTCATGAGTGCATCCACCAAATACCAATTGCAAGCACGCTGCTGATACTTGCTCTTGCGTTATTAAGGTTACAGGACACCCTTTTTGGCGTTTTGCGGAAAATCGCTACTGTGCGCTCAAAATCAGTCCGATTTTCATCAAATTTTCATCAAATGTTCGCCAGTGCATGCAAAATATGGTAAAGTTATAAAATTAACAAACATTAAAATAATGTAAGAATTATAATGTAAGAATATTGCTGGTTTTAAGTTATATTTATGAAAATATCATTTTTAAACAGTAAAATAGTTGTTCTAAAAAATTGTGTTGGGAAATTTTGTTTATTTCGTCATTCCGCTGATATGGCGATTTCTTTGACGACTGCAATATATTTCTGAATTGTTTGAGTGAATTGCTCTTTATTATTAAAATATCCAAAATTAGAACAAAGCCGAACACAATTTTGAAACTGACGTCTTTAGCTATGTCCTGTGAAAATTTGAGAGAAATTCGTTAAAACCAGCAGGAGCACAACTCGTTTGAAAATCAGTAATTGCCGTAAAATTCTTCGGGAGAAAATTGAATTTGAATATTACATTTTCAATGTTTTTCTTATTGCAGCGAAATGTATTTTATTAAATAACTCTGCAAGTTTTCAACATTTTTCGTTCAAACTTGGTCAGGTAGTAGAACTAGTCTAATGCTTTCATGGAAACCAATAAAAAAATTTTAGGTAAAATTAACACTCAAA